GGGTGGCGGATTTTGGGTCAATATGAGGAAAAAATCTGAAATAAAACTTCTAAACACAGGACATTCAGCTAAGTAAAGGCACCTAGGATGTCAGGGTTGGTGAAGGGATGGATATTCTGCTTCCTTCATCAAGAAAGTCCAGCTACAAAAAACACAGCAGAGGCTGAAAGGTGTCCTCAGCTATGCCACCAACTCACATCTGGTGCAAGCTCCCTCTCTAGCTGCTAACCTATAGCATTCACTGTGGCAGCCAATCCATGCGCCAAACTTTTGCATTTTTCCCCTCATTAACAGGAAAGGAAGGGAAGGGGAAAGGTTGAAAGGGAGAAAGAGAGAAAGTATGTGTTTTAACCCAGATTTAATAAAGTTCTGCAGGAAAAGCCAAAGGTACTCCTGGCAGGGACACTTCCAATCCATTTGACATCAACTCTGGACAAGCCACCAATGCTTCTGGAAAGGACAGAGCTGACACAAGACAGGAAAGGCCTGGAAGCCATGCACTGTCTGTGTGCTGCCTGCCTGGGAGCCCACAGTTTTCTCATCAGTTCTACAGACACTAAGTGGAGGAGACCCCGAGCTTTCAAGGGACGGGCTTCTGACACCACCGCCCTGTTCTGGGTCCTGACTACTGGATGTGGTCTGGACTCCCACCTCAAGGCTCCAGGAAACCAGCTCAGCATGAAGGCACTGACCCACCCTGGAGGTGAGCTGAGAACTGGTAGCCCAGAGGAAGAGGCGAGGGCGAAGGAGAGGTATGGGCCAGAATCAAGGAACGACTTGTATGTCTGCTGAGGCCTCTGTGGCCCTGAGGATCCAGGGGGTTGGGGACCCCACACTGACTTTTTGGGGAAAGAGGAACTGTAATGGGGCTGAAAGCAAATTGGGGCATGTGATGTACCCTATCAGATTAGCCCACTGATGAGCCAATGTCAGGGTTCTGGGGTTGCGGCCAGCAGTTAGCCCAGTCCCCGAGCTGGAATCAGGGTGCTGTGTGAGCTGAGAGGCCACAGGAATAGTCTGGTGCATTTCACGCTCACCAATTTGCTGCCTTCCAAATACAAAGCAGGTATCCTGCTATCTCACATTTACATCTGGTCAGAAACATGTGATCATCAGGGACCATGCAGCTATTTTTTGGAGTTTAGAAGAAACATATCTGAGGGTCTCAGGTTCACTCTGGGGAAGCCACAGCCATATCCGGGAAACTCACTATGAACTAGAGTAGGTGTCAGCACACTCTTTTCATCAAGGGCCAGACAGTAAATATTCTAGGCCAGCATTCCTCAACCTTTTTGGCACCAGGGACCAGTACTCCTATGAGAATCTAATGCCTGATGATCTAAGGTGGAGCTGAGGCGGTGATGCTAGCGCTGGGGAGCGGCTGCAAACACAAATGAAGCTTCGCTTGCTCACTCACTGCTCACCTTCTGCTGTGCAGCCTGGTTCCTAACAGGCCAGGGACAAGTATAGGTCTGTGGGCCAGGGGATGGGGACCCCTGTTCTAGGCTTCGACAGCCACAGGGTCTCCATGGTACCTACTGGACTCTAGCCCAGGCACCACAAAAGTAGCCAGAGATAATATGTGAACACATGGGCACAACTAGTTTCTAGTGAAACTATTTACAAGAGCAGGCGCTGGGCAGGACCCAGCTCAGAGCTGTAGTCTGCCAACTCCTTGGGCTGTAGCCATGAACATTGATTTCTATATGCAGATGCAGCAACAAAGTCCCACCACCAATGCTAACTCCAACTGAAGCCTACAGCAATGCCTGACAAGAATCTACAGACGCATCCAGACTTGGAAGAGAAGGTGCTTTGTGATCACGGGTGCCATCCATGTGATGCTCACAAGTGCAGGTGCAATCACAGGAAGCATCCTTTACAAATGTGACCACTCCAAACCAGGCCACTCACGTCAGGAGGCCTAAGCGTTATGGACATTAATCCTCTGTAAAGGCCTTAGGATGGGTAAGTGGAAAAAGTGCTTGGGGCGGCCTGCTTCAGGCCGCCATCCCCAGCCCAAGGAGTCCCACACCAAACCTCAGAAGAGTTGCTACATGCCTCACAACGAAGAAACTCCTAAAATATTTCCCTAGCTCTGGGAGCAGAAGGCAGCCTTTGAGATGTGGCTACAAACGCTGGCTGAGCGTTCAGAGACCTCTGCGGAGCCTTCAGCGGGAACCACGTACCTGGGCTGGCCTCTTCAGGAGGGGGGCTGCAATCTGCACAGAAACGGAGGTGACACGATGATTAAGAAGCAGCACACAGTTCAAACACCAACAACTCAACGCTTAGAGCAGCTGCATCAGCAGCTTGCAGTGAGGTGGCTAACCTGCACAGAGAAGAGGTAGGGCTGGCCTCTTCTCTAGCCAGCCACACGGAGGCGCTCGAGCCGCTCCGAGGCAGCTGAGCCCCTCGGCAGTAAACACAGCCCGACTGGCGGGCATAAACATTCATGCTGCTCAAACGTCAACATAAAGTGCTCTTCGGGGGTGAGCCTACCCACACATGATGATGTGATGAAGTGCATATCCACCATACTGTATGTGGTGGAGCCCCACGTTGGCCTGCAACATCTGGAAGCAAATTTGAAATGAGAGAGGCTGACTGGTCAATGGCATATTCCCAGCACAGAGCCACCACCCTAACGACTGGTAGACCCTGGGCGAGACTGACCACTGAGATCCAAAGGGAGGACCAGTGATGAAACCAATATTTCATAAATATCTATGCCACTCTTTCAAATTGAAGCCAGATAACAAACTTTTATGATTTGGGGGAAGTCTAGAATTAGAACATCCTTCCAGGTCCCGCAAAGAGTACCAATTTTAATTTGCTGTCACCTACACTGAGTCACTTTGGAAAGTACTCATTTCAATTTCATATTTCCCTTAAAAACTCTAAATACCTTGGCTAACTGGGTGTGCCACCAAAAAGAAAACGAGTTTGAAAAGGGATCATTTACACTGGAGTAAAAGCTTATTTTATTTTATTATCTAAACTTTTTGGGTCAAAAAATGTCTGCAGGATACTGAAATAGGTAGTTTGGGATCCCCAAGAATAGCCAGGACCAGCTTTGCAGAGACTTTCACAACCCATGGGACTGTCCAGAAGGGGTGGCGAGGGACCTTCCCCTCGTCATCTTTGGGAATGACCTCTTCTCCTGGCAAGGGAGACAGAAACAAGAGTAAAACTGCCAGCCTCACACTCTCCATTAGAGCCATCTACCTGACAAAGAAAGCGACCCCAGAGGTGTGAGCAGCAGAGTAGGGATTCTTAAGCATCTGTCTGACTAGTCAGAATCACCCCAGGCCTTGCCAAAGATAATAGGTTTCTGCTTCTGCCTAAACCCTTCCTTGAAGACTCTGGTCTGAAAGAGGAAGAAGGTCTGGAGCCTGTTTCCACGATCTTCTGTGGTGACCCCAGACAGTGGGTTGAGGCCCCTCCTGAGATGGCACCAGGGTTAAACCCAGCTGGGTACACATATCTTTTGCTCAGGGGGGCAAGGGATGGTCTCCGTGGGTACTCCTGGGCCAGGTGCTTGTGACTTGTCTTAGGTGACAGAGTTCCATGACACCAGATGACCACTATGGACTTTCTCTCATTCTAGCACCTAATCTCAGGGCACATGGCCTGGGTTTGACCCACAGATCTCAGGTCAAGAACAACCTGGTCCGGGTTTGAATGGCTCTTAGGGATGAGGAGAACAAGAGGGTGTGCATGTGGAAAGTGATGGAAGGATGGAAGGTGGCAGGCAGGGTACAGAAGGGGTGTGGGGTGCTTGTGGGGAACACGGGGAGGAGAGAGGTTTATGGAGCCTCTGTGGTGCCAGCTGGCAGGGACTTGTGGGCGGGTCCTGTGGAGCCTGGCTCTGGGTGACTCCTGCTCACCAGGCAAGGCTCTGATCAGGTTTGCAGGAGGGCAAGCTGAGAAGCAGGGCAGCTCTTTAGTGAAAGATGAAAACCAAGGCCCTGGGACGAGTATGGAATTGGAACAAAAACTGATGACACCTTTCAAAGAGGCACAGAGTTGTTCCTGTGTGAATACAACCTGTTCATCAGGTCAAAACCATAGTGATGTGGAACAGTCTAAAAAAATCATGACAGAGCCTGGCTCTGGCCCTGGGGGACAGGAGGCTGAGCACAGCACATGGCCCTTCCTGACACTCCCAGCCATGCCGAGGTACAGATAGCTTCCTGGCTAAACTTGAGGTTCTTGCATCAGGGTCATCTGCAGTTAATTTTGTGGCATATGGTTTCATGCATTTCTTAGATCAGCAGTTAGACTCTCTCAAATGTATGCTTCATGTTCCCATCATCACAACACAACTGATTCATATGGCACACGTGATTACAAGTCAAACCCTATTACAAATAAATGCTCATTTAAATCACTTTAAAACTGCATGTAAGTTTGTCTATATTTGAACAATACATGCCTAAAAAAAATGACTTAAGTTATGGATACAACAGTACATCTGATTAAATACACTATCTCCTGCTTTTAAAAAAAAACAATGAAATACATTTTATATCTGCAGGAAAAAACTTAAAGTAGAAGCGAGACAGTATTAAAGAGAAATGAGCAATGAATTTTCAGAAATTTTTAAAAGAAACACAATTAACAAACGAGAACACGAACAAAGACAAAACAGTGCCGTGAAACCAATCACAGGTTTGGGGAGAATTGAAACTGTAATCCCTCTCAGATGGATGAGTGGAGGGTGTGAGCACTGTTGAGACAGAGGCTCAAGTGCAACAGTGCCCTGAAGACAGACTGCAGGCAGACTGAGAAGGTGAAGGGCACCTCACAGAAGGGCTTATCGAGAGGCTCCGATGCAGGAACACAGTCCTGCCTGGAATGAAGGTTGCCCAATTCAAAAATTAAAACTCTTCGCTCCAGGAAACCTAACCAGGCACATGTAGGCCTTACTTCCTCTGGCTAAATGCCCCCAAAGGAGAGCAAAGCGGTAATGGAAGCTAGGTGTGCAGCCAGGCCTTAGCTGCCAGCCTGTCACCCTCTCCAGCTCTGACAGGAAACGGCGGAGGCCCTGAGCTGCAGGGACCAGGGAGCCACAGGCTGGCGAGAAAGCACACATCCCAGCCCTATGGCCAAATGTGGGACTGGGTATCTATTGACGCCCGGTGTCTTCAGACAAAAGACTCTGAACTGCGCTGCTTCTTGCCAATGTCCCACCACCACAAAGATCCCCACTCTAGAGGTGGTAACAACGAGGAACCTTACTCAGCTCCCAGAGCACAAGAGTACTTATCACCACCATGGGACTGACTCACCAACACGTCCCAGAGCAACGTGCCTCTGCTAGATGAGCGTGCCCACCAGTGACAACCTACCTTTAGACAAGTCTGCTGGGCCTGCTAACAGCTCTCATCCAACTGTGTCCCTGTGCCACTCCCCATGTCCTTGAGCCTACCAGTTAAACAGCCTCATTGGAAAGGCATCTGGATCTCGGCCTCCGTTAAGTTCTCAGACTGGTTTAAGACCAGGGAAGCCCAGGAGCCCCTCCCTCACTGCGTCGCCCTATGACCCAGGAGGGCCCTGACAGTCATACTTCTCCCAACACCCAGATGCAAGGCAGGCTCCCTGGGCACGAAGCCTATGAGACGTCCGTCGTCACTGTCACCACCCCACGTACTGCGATGCTCGCTCTGCCCGACAGCCCTCCCTGCAGTCTGCATGGGGGAGGACATGGAGACAGACAGACAGACAGACAGACAGGCATGGCTGGAGGTGGAGGCAGTGGTGTGAGGGGTGTGGACGCATACGCACGTGTGGTCAGGTGAGGATGGCATGCAGCAGAGGGCGTGGTGGAGGGGCACGGTGAGGAGGGGGTATCGCAGAAGGGGCGCTCCGGTCTGATCCAGTAGGCGTGGCTGTCTGGGTTACCTTTCTTGCTGGAGCCGCTGCTAGTGCAGGGGGAGGCATCCTCACAGCCCTCGCCATGCAGGCGCTCCTTCTGCAGCAGCTTGTCCACCCGCTGGACAATGCACTCCAGGCTCTTGTCGACATTCAGCCACACTTTCTCCTTCCAAACCAAAGGGGTTCATTTGAGTCGGCTTCCCAGCAAGAATGACAGGACAGAACACGAACCCAATCATCCCCCACTGGCCCTGCTCCGCCACCAGCTCACTAAACATGAGATTATAAGAATTCTTTAATAACAAAATTCTTGCCCCAAACACAATTAAAGCTGTATTTGCTTTTCGAAGGACAAGTAGTGTCCTGTGGTCGCTGCTGCTAAAGCCCATTGTGGGGGCCGGGCAGGACATCCAGTACCTCCCAGCGCTAGCAGAAGGGCACAGCGCTGTCCCCTCCCCCTCCGCTGCAGACCCACAACATCGCACTGGAGAGGACTGAGGCTACTTGGATGGCAGGAGGTGGAAAGAGCCCATTACTTCAGGTGAGGGTGGGGAGGTGAGGGATGGCCAGGGGACCCTAGAAGACATGGGTGCCCAAGCGGGCTGAGGAACGCTTCACAGCTGACCAGTGACTCCGGGCCTCTAAACAGTGGTCCCCACAAATGACAAATGAGTTGAATAACATGTCCACTCCCTCAGGAGATGCTAATCTCCTGAGGACAACTCTGAGGAAGCAACAAAGGAACACGATGGCAGGGCAGCATCTCCCAGTCCTCAACAGCTGCCCCAGCACCTCAGCTCGCACAGCTGCAAGTGTGCCGGGGCAGGCCACCGATCAGAGATGGGACAGGGTAGAGCTCCAGGGAGGGGACGGCCCCTCACAGCTGGCTCAGACCCCCAGCCAGCTGCCTGCTCCTCAGATGGACACAGGTGGGAAAACGCCATCTCCCTCCCTGGCTCAGGTGGCCTGGGGCCCCAGGAAGGAGGCCTGGGCTTGTCAGGCCCTCCGGGGAGAGGCTGGGGAGCAGCCTCATGTTTTCAACACCAGCTGGCAGCAAGACGGCTACAGACACACTCACCCACTCCTCCTCATGCCAGTCCACCTGCAGAGAAGACCGGCTGTTCCTGCCTGTCCACCTGGCCATGAGGGTGTCTTGGTCGTTCCTGAGCATCACCTGCTCCTCCTCCGTCGAGGTGGGGGAGGCCTTGGAGGCAATATAATCAGGCCGCGCGGCGTTCAGCCCATGGATGGAGTTGGCCAGCAGCTTGCAGTCGCACACAGTGACCAGCTGCCGGGTCTGCGGGCACACACACCTCACCGCTGAGCCCAGGCCAGGGCTGTAAGGCCTGTCCTCCCTGAGAGCTCAGGGCCAGCCCTGCCCTTCTCCACAGTGTGACTGCCTCGGAGCTGCAGCTCTCAGGACACCTAGCTTATGGCCACATAGCTGACTTGGCGGAAACTTAGCAAGACCTGCCCACTGATAGGAGGATGAAGACTGAGAAGCCTCTGAGACTGACATTGTTTGAAGAAGGGCCTGAAGAGAGGCCAGTGTCCCCGCTTTCGAAAACTGCCTGGGCTGTCCCCTCTCATTCCAGGGGGAGGCTTTACGCTGGGTCAGTCACCAAAGCCTTATCTTTTGCATCTAACACCTAAGCCCTGGGCTCTGGGCAGAGGGTCCTCTTAGAGCATGTGGGTTCTGGGGGATTCCCTATGCAACAAGGGCTATGACTCACCATCTCATTTCTAACACCTTTATTTTCCCAGAGGATCTAATCCCCAGCCCAATCTCTGTGCTGGTGAACACAGGCAAAAGACACAGCGTGCCCCGTGAGCATGGGCAAAGGATGTAGCGTGTCCTAACTGGGAACAGCACCTCACCTCAGCAAGGTGAGTGTGACTGGTGAAGTGTGATCAGAATCTCTGTGCATGTATGTGCATGTGTGTATCTGCGTGTACGTGTGTGTTCATAGAGAGGCTGAGTAATTTGAAAAAGCATCACCCATCAAAAGTATCTGAGGTATCCATGCCCCCCAGTATGAACATGCACTTATAAATTTTAGATCTGGATCAATAGAAGACTGGTAGAAATGTGCAAAGTAGGCGGTTGCCAAGAAAGCCGTTGAACTGTCCTGGTGACCCTGTGGACCTACCAGGAGACATGTGTGCATGAAGCAGCAGCCGGTGTCACAGGCCTGGGCTCTGTCCTTGGCCTGCCCCGCGCAGCTCTGTGACCACAAGCAAATCACCAAACCTCCCTGGGCCATGTGGGAACTGGATCTGAAGCTAGATCTTCAAGGTCATCCCAATGTCACCCTTTGTGGGGATGGCTTTGGGTACACACAAGGTGTCCAGGAAGGGGGTTACAGAAACCCAAGGGAGCCCCCACCCACACGCAGCAGGGCAGTCCCTCCTACCTTGTCTGCCAAGATGGCTAGTGTCCTCTCGAGCCCGGTGGCAGATCTGTCCCTGGCTGCCCTCGAGACCCGCTCTGCGTAGTAGCCCACTTGGGTCTTTAGGGTGTTGATCTGGGCGATGATCTCCTTGGCTCTGATGACATCCTGTGGTGTGTAGATGATGGACTGGTAGCCGGAAGACGTGCTGGAGAGGATGAGAATGGGCCCTAAGGGCTTTCTTTCTCCAAGCACGGGGATAGCAGCCCCTGCCCACCCCAGCCCATGGCCAGCACAGGATAAAGCACTCTGCTGCTGGGACAGTTTCCTGGGCTGGGCTAAGGATGGGCCAAGGTATGTTTCAGGAAGTCCTTTCTCTCTGGATGGTAGAAGCAAGTCTTTTACCTCTACTTGTATCTCTATTTGTTCTACGTGTATGTACATTGTGTGCAGATACTAAACCCAGCAATCACCCAACAATCTTTTACCTAAGCACTTCATCTGTCGATTTCTAGCAGGACTTAGTGGAGACACTGGGTATGCTGATGCCAGAAGGGGCTGGTTTATCACAGGGAAAGGGGATTGTCGTAGGCTTTGTCAAAAGGATCCTCAGCTTTTTCACTTGGCTAGTTGGGACTCCCAGCCTCCTGCGCATCCCCCAGAGTTGTCCTCCCTCCCATGTCTGACCCCCACAAGTCCCCAGCGGCTTCCTTCCCTGTCCCTGCTCCAGGACTTCTCTACCTTGAAAAATAACGTTCTACCACCTGAGGAGGTGAAGAACGTGCTAAGCCAGAGGCCAGGCCTGGACGCCTCAATGGTTTTGAAAACTGGATTCTTCCTCCTTCCTCGCCTCCTCGCCACCAAGCGGCATGTGTATCCTGGGATCTGAGGCCAAAGCTACGGCCTAGCCACTGCCCAGAAGACTTACCATCTGCTGAGAACCAGCCCCACAGCCTCAGCTACATGGAGCCGGGCTGTCGTGTTCAGCCCTTCTACAAGAAGATGGTAAATTGCATGCCTCTCAGCTAAGACCTCAAGTCAATCCAATACCATAAACTGATTTCTCGGACTATGTGAGGGAGCTGAGGGAAAGGGGCAGAGAAAGCATAAGGCACCAATGCTGAGGTCTCTCCCACAGCTGAAGTCGTGGGCTCTGGCTGGGGTGGCTGTCCCACCCTTCATGGAATGAGCCTCAGAGCTGCCCTTTTGAGTTAGGGGAAGGAGAAGAAGGTGGAGAGCCGGACCGTTGATCACCTTCACTGGGGGCAGGGGTGACGGTGGGCAGGCCTGAGAACCCTCCTCGATGGGCTCTGTCCTGGGTGACCCAACGATGGCCCACCAAGAAACCACCCTGCCCCTTCCCTTGATGGACTATGGGGTAAACATGCAAAAAGCAAAACCCGAGGCACCCCAGAAAGAAACCACACTGCAAACCCGCACACGACGATGGGAACAGTGGGTCTGCCGGAAGCCCATGCAGCACACTGCGCCAAGCCCGCCTGGCCCGACGAGTCAGGCACAGCACGACATGCACATGGTGACCTTCCAATCTGCATCACTCTTCCAATGAATAGCTGCCTTGTGGGACAATTCAGTCTTAAAAAAACAGTCTCAAAATAGAGTTTAAAAAACACCTGTTCGTCCCAGGCCCCGGCACTTCAAGCACACGAGTAACATGTGGTGCACGCAGAGGTGCACGTGTGTGTGTACGGACGGTTGTGTGCACGTCGACAAACAGGTCCTCCCCCATCGCCCGCAGAAGCAGCTCCTCAGCCACCCTGTCCCCACAGGCCACATCCCAACAGCAGCGACCAGGCCTCCCGCACAGGAAGGATGTGAGTGGATTCCAAAGAGCAGCTGCTCAGGGTGATGGCGAACATACGAGTGTGTATGCTTCGCTGCCCAGTCCTCATCCGGGAACGCTCGAGGGGCCCCAGCTGGGATGGGTGAGCCTCGGGGCTTCCTGCTGTCAGATGTCCCCAGCCACCTTCTCTGAGCCTCCGCAGCTCCAGGAGAGCAGGCGTTCCAAAGGGACGAGGTGCCTCTGGTACCCGTTACCCAAAGCAGCAACACTGCAGCGTCCTGTTCTGGCCAGGCGAACACTCTGGGCAGGATTGGGGGGTCTGGGGCAGCAGCAGGGACCCCCAGGCAGCAGACATTATGGGTTCTAGCTGCCATCTAACTTTTTAGTGGAAAAAGTCTCTTGGTTATTGTAATTCTTGGTAAAACTGATACTAGTGACACTGTTTGAAAAATATGCATCGACTATTCAGCATCAAAAAAATGTAAGCTGGCTTCATTCCCACAGAGGTGAAGGTGAAGGTGAAGTGGAGACTGAAAAAATCCCAGATTCTTATAAAAGAAGCCACGAAAGGATTCCCAACGGCACCAGTGGGTGGACCTGAGATTCCAGCCCCAGGGACTTGCCAGCTGGGCTCTCGTCATCCTGGGAGAAACAGCATGGGGTCAGCTCTGGAGTGAGCACTGAGACTTCAAAGACAAAGCAGCAGAGGGACATGGGCTGTTCATTATCAAAGAGCCTTGCAGTTGGAAGGGAGAATTGCTTACGAGGCTACAACTAGGAGCCATTGGGGGCACCGAGGGTGAGGCACCTCACAGGGGAGGGGACAGCACAAGAGCAAGACCCAGACACACACTCTCTCCACAGACAGAAAACTCACCAACACTCCTCAAAACTGCTAAAAGAAAGAACCAAAATGACACATTAGCATCTGTCAGAAAACACTAAATGCAAAGCAAAAATAAAAAGCCAGGTTATCTTTTGTCAAAATACTTGGATTTATTTGCTGAGGAATGATGAATTTCTGAGCCCTGCGTGCTTATTTGTCGCAGCAATGTCAGGGCTCACCCCCAGGGAGAAAAGTCACATCTGTACGTTAAGGAAATGTCCAATGACGAAAACCATTTCTACAAGTCATTTTATGACATGAGGAGAAAGTTGAGCATAAACTTTTATTATATATTTGAAAAATATCTCAGAGACATTTTGGGGATAAGAAGTTTCAGTTTAACACGCACCATGAGTCACCACGGCCCCCTGCCACCATCAAAATGCACACGCACTCAACATGGCCACAAGCAAGCTGCAGCAGACGCGATCTCTGCTGGCTTTGTGGAGCTGTGGTGGGGACAGGAAGCCTCGCCCTCGTCATAACGCCCAGAGGAACACCAGAGTCGGTGGCTCCTCAGGCAGGCCTGGTCACCTGGCTCAGGGAAGAGCTCTAGGTGCAGACAAACCAAGGTGCCCCCAAAGAGGCCCTCCAAGGTCCTTCTTGTCCCCTCTCCTGTCTCTAGTGCTCCCTGGCTCAGGGCAGCCTGTGCTCACACCTGAAAGGTGGCAACACGGTGCAGTCCCTTCCGTCCTCCTACCCACCTCAGCCTTGGTCACGAGGTCAGTGACACTCCCAACTACATCCCTGACCCCTCAGCCCACTGGCCAGGGTCAGTTTTCTCCTGTCACATCCTGACTCCCAGCCACAGCAGCACAGAGCCAGCCAGGGAACCCTGTAAATGTGTTCCACCTGGCTACCTGTTGGACTCTCGTGAGGTCCTGGGGCCTTTGCTCCACCTTCCCTACCCCACCCTGTTCCCAGGGATGAGAATGACCTTTCAGCCCCGCATTCTGCAGAGGCTACTCCACCTCAGCTCATCCCCTCCCACCTGAAAAAACTCCATGTAGCCCCAACTTCCTTGTCCCTTCTGGGACTGCCTGCCTGGTTCTGCCTCTCTCCACCTGTTCCAGAACCTAGGCTATCACCATTCTCTCCCAGCTCCTCATTGCTCCCACCTTCCCTCTCAGTCCATACACATGCTCTCATCACAGCCACCCTCCCCAAACTTGAGACCCCCGGCTACTTCCTCTACCTCATAGTCCAAGGGTCTCACGGAACTATCTACACTCACTACCTCCACGTCCTTCACCTACTACAGCTTGACAGGGGACCTTCTGGAAGGGCACCAGTGCCTCCCCCACATCCCACATAGTAGCCTGTTTGCAGCTCCTCCACCCCGGTAGCACGCCACACAAGTGGTGGTGCAGCCTGTCAGCCCAGAGCAAGGTCACTGCTCCTCGTGACAGGGCTGGATCTGTCACCTGCATCCCTGGTCACCAGCACATAGCCCTGCACACTGGGACCCCACTGCAGCTCTGTACCCCTCCTCACCCTGCCACCTAGCAGTTTTCTGCTCAGGTAAGCAGCTCCATGCAGCCCCTGGAGCCTTTTGAAAGCTGGGAACGCTGACCACACCATCCCTTAGGAAAGGAATGGTCCCTCCCCAGCTGCACACAACTGAACAGGGATGGCAAGGACCCCGAGCAGCAGTCACACAGGCAGCCGCCAGAAGCACCTCTTTAGGGTGGGTCTCAATTTGCAGGATGGGGCCACCAACGCAGTGCCCTTGCCACCCCCACTCAGGCACACACAGAGCAACACGGGCCATGAGGCAGCCCCTCCCGCCACGCAGAAGCAGACTGAACAGCTGGATGTTTCTGTGGCCATATTTTAGGTCTTTTTCCAACCTAGGATGCATCAGACAGCTGTACAAGGACTATGAACATCCTCTCGAGAACTTACTGTTTCTTGGTCTCTTCGAACTTGTGCAGCTTTTTGCGGAGGCCTCCTGACTTAAAGCCCTGGCAGTGTGCTGCGGGTGCCCCGATGGTAACGATGTCATAGCTCTGATCTGAATGACAGAAAGCTCTTCTGCATTACCTAGGCTTGGGCCTGCAGACATGCAAGCTACAGGGATGAGCACACAGCTCTGGACCCTGCCCTCAACTTGCAGCCAGGCAGCTATGGTTCCCTTAGTCTCATAGCCTGCATGGTCGGCCGAGGGCCTCTGGGACCCAGCACCACCCCCCGGAGAGGAGCCATGCAGGGCTGGAAGCACCACGTGCAACATCAGCTCCCCTCCTTTGGAAGGGTGATTGAAGGGCAACTTTCTGCTGCAGAAACACAACAGGAGGCTGGACAGAGGAGAGACAAGAGAAGGGGCTTGTGCTCTTTAACAAAGGGTCTGACAGGGTCCTGAGGCATGCCTGCAGAAGAACACCTGGGGAAGGCTGGGCAGGTGAGGGGTAGTCGCAGGACAAGGCACACAGGGGCAGGAAATTACCTGATCCCCCGTCATCTTGAACTCTCATCCTCTGTATGTGCAGGTTTGTGGGAACAAATTCCAACTTTTTATCTGCTTTCAAACTGCTTGCTTTAAACGAAGGACCTAAGAAACAAAACACGAGCCAAGGGCCATCACTGGGTCCCATCATGAGTGGGACCCATTCATGAGTGGCAAGTGGGAAATGGGTATTTTGAGGGTGCTGCTCAAAAAGTGGGTACATGTGGTGGCCTAGGAAACTCTGAGTCGATCACGAACACATTCTGTTGCAGGGTGGTGGGTGAGTGAAACACCGTAGGGAGGGCAGCTCGCCAGCCAGGAGGCTGGTTCTGAGAGCTTGGGTGGTGAATGGAGCAGGCAACGGCAGATTCAGAAGGTGATGGTGACAGCGACAGTGCCGTGCCTCCCCATGATTCATCCCTCAATGGAGAGGTCTGACACAAAGAGGAGGTTTTGTGCAGCACATGTCAGCAGCACTATAAAAAGCAATGGGCCCACTCCAGGAAATGTCTGTTCCAATTCCAGACTCCAAGAGCTAAGAAATCGGTCAACCAGAGCAACATGTCTCAATTCTGAAAAGCAGTAAAGAGGTCAGCTTGTCACCTGGGTCCCCTCAGATGAGCAATATGCGAGGCAGCAGCAACCCTGGCCCATAGAATAGACTCAAACCCATTCCCTAGTATGCGCTCAGGTGACTAAGGAGGCTGGATGGTGTTTTGTGACAAATACCCACAGTATTATTTCTATAGTCAGAATCCGTAACTAATTAAGCAAAGAACTCCATGCCTAGAAAAGAAAAGGAGTACAAATTACACTGAAAACAAGAAGGGTAGAAGAAATAAACATTGCATCTAGTAAAAAAAGGTAAATTTATTTTGCCAGTATACAAAACACAGGCCAGCCAGATGGCTGTTCTGCATTTTGTCACAGGAGACTGTTCGCTAGATACTTATATGGCGTAGCCCAGGGAGTGCTGGCAGCCTGGAGCCTGTAAGAGTTACAGGATCCTGGACCTGCTATTAGCACGGCGCTCTGGGGATTTAGACACACAGTGACATCCAAGAAGCTCTGCTCTAGAGAACTCAGGCTGTGCAGGTGTCAGACTTTCCCAGGTAACAGGCATCCAGTGTGGGACGGTCCCTAGATTCGTTCTGGCAAATGCTGCCACTTCTCTTAGGAACACACTTAGATACGTTCTTCAGATTCAAACCCAAACCTGGGCACCAGGACCTTGTCATCATTCCTGCATTTGGCTTCTCATCCAAGTTCATGGATATACGTTCATACATTCTGTGTCAAAACTACATTAAAGGCTCATGATTTTCTTTAAACCCTGGAATTTCATTATAAAGAAAGGAAGAAAAAAAAAATCTAAAGATAGAAAATAAAGTAATGAAAAGCTTCCCCCACCCAAAAAAAAAAAAACATTCCATTTGGAAAATAAAATGGAATGAGTTAAGAATAGTCTTTTCAATCTACCTTAAGAGTGTTTTGAAAACCAAAAGGCATCTTTCAAGAAGAAAAGGTGAGGTGTCTGAGCTTTATTTTCCTTTTTGAGCCTTAAAAATAGAGATTCTGCTCAGATAATTTATATGTTCAATACAAGTACCACCAAGTATTTAAACTGAGAAATCTAGAAAACGTCTTTGTCTTGAGCAAATGGCCTACATCCTTTTGGTCATTTCACTGATATTAAGACTAAGATGAAGAAATAGCATGAACGACCTGTGATTTGGTCTCCGCTAAATTCCATCACACAGTGGCTGTTTTGGCAGATCACACCATAGAATTTTCAATGCAATGCAGATTTCTCTTCCTAATTGAGATCTGAGAAATCCAAATTTTAAAGAATTCACACCTACGTGAGTATCTATTTTTAAAAACCCATTAGAGTGCCTGTCAGGGTGCCTGTGTGAGCGACCCGGGTGCCCCCTTCAGGTGGGAAAGCTGCGCATGCATGCGCGGTGAGGGCGAGACCAGTACCTACCTCGGTACTGATGGAGGTCAGTCAGGTTCTCCTGGTACGTGAGGATGATGGTCTGGTACTGAGTGACGATCTGGCGCCGGAGGCTCTCCCAGCAGGGGGATAGCTCGCCCAGCTCCTCCAGTTCACACACTCTGCAAGCAAGACACGTACAGGTCAGGCATGGCCATCTCACTTCCCCGGAGATACACGGGAGTCCGTGCCACCCAGGAGAGCAGAGGGCATGGAGAAGCATGCTGATGCCCGGGGAAGGCCCAGGCTACATGGTGAGGCCAAAGGGCAAGCAGCAGAGTGCATGGCAGGCCCCTCTTGGAGGACCGGCTGTACAAAAAGCAGACTACCAACTGTGTGGCAAGTGTACAGAGAAGCTTTGTACAGAGACAAAGTAAAGTGTAAGAGAAAAGCTGAGTGGAGAGGGTGCGGCCCCCTGCCGCCTGGCCCCAGGGGCGAAGGCTCGGAATGCAGCCCCTCTGCATCTGGGCAGGACAAGCTGACGGTGACCCTCCCAGAACACAAGGGCACTGGGGGCCTGTAAGGAACTGCTACAATGTATTATCTCCAGAAAATAAAACCTGTGTAGGAACTGAAACATAAACTTCTTAGCTCAGCAGCAAATAATAGCTATATCAGCAGAGAAACAAAAACATAACATAGATTTAAAAAAAAAAAAAAAAAAAGGGATAACCATTTTAGGGAACTAGGGAATGGGAAAGTGTAAAAAACCCAAAACCTTCACTTAGCAGGAGTCAGCAGCTAACCCCCGAGGCTGGTCAAGAGCATTCTGCACATGTGTTTAGAAACACAGCGGCCAACATCGAGACTTTGGCTAATGGTACTGGTTTCTGGAATCAGAAGGTTGAGTGGCCCTAGACTTGTTTTTTGTTAAAAGCCATTGACACTACTTGGCTTTTTATACAATATACATTTTCCTTTGAGGGAAAATCAAATACAAATTTTATAAGACTTTTTATGAATCTACTGAATTATCTTAAGTTTTTAAAAAGCCGTGCCATTTTATGGTTATTAAATTAGCAAAATTGGTATAAAAGAAGACTGGTGCAGGCGGGCTGTGGGAAACAGAAGTCCCCGCACCTCAGAAGGGCTCATGCACAGGAGCCCCACGCCTTGCCGCTCTGGCCCCCTCTGGATGTTTGCCCATGTTCCACGTGGCTCCTCATTTATGCTCTGGGTGCCAGCTTACTGGCACCTAAAATTTCAGAGGCCTGCCATCCGGGACCACTCTCCTCCTTCTCACAGGCCCCAGTACTTTCTCCTAACACATCTGGGCCCTGTGTGTGTCTCCCAGCTCTCTGTGAGTGACTGTCACCCACAGTCTGTGTCTGTATCCCTCATCAAGAAGCCCCTGCACCAAGCACAGTGCCCACAATGCGGCTGGGCTGAAAACATGCAGCCATCGAAAGCAAAGTACTTATTAAGTAAATGGTCTTTAAACTTTTAGCACATGTAAATACACACACAAGTGTAGATAATGAGAAATGATGCCCTAACTAAAAATTATAACAAGCTGAGTGATGATTTATGGGAAAGTAGACGGTAGCTACGTATATAGATACAAATATAGAAAAGCTGAAAGGAAAAATTTTAAATCTAAAATACATACGCATAGGAAAAAAGTAATTCGTTGCATTATTATTCTTGCCATTTTTTCCTCTAAATTTGAATTTTTTCAAGATAAAATTTTTTAAAAAATAGCTGTATTAGCTGAATAGGATTCTAACTGCATTGTTTTCTTTCATGCTTCTGTTATACTGCTTATAATTAATGTTGTTCAGCAACGATAGTGTAAGGCACAGAGGAGATGTAGCCTGACCCATATCACAGGCTTCTCCTTGCTACAGGACCAAGGACATGCACCCTGAGCTGAGGGGTGCCCGACAGGCCCCCTTTGGCTTCCGGAGCCCGCATTGCTGTGACCCTGCCTGAGGAAACTGCTGACCCAGGCAGACAAGACTGGAGAACAACCAGCTATTGCTAAATTTGAGCCCAAATGAGGAAAAAGGAGAGGGCAAGAGCCGGGAGTGGGTACCAAGTTCAAGGCCGGGCATGTTGTCCCGTGAAGTCCTCACACAGGACACCCAGGACACAGATGCGCAAACTGAGGTTTCACGAGCCCAGGCTGCAGAGCAGGCTCATGGTGGAGCTGGGCTCGCCATCAACCCCTCTGGTGCTGGTGCTATATGCCCATCATCTCAGAGCCTTCCAGAGGGAAAAGGCGCATGACGCAGGCATGATGGGTGGTGAGAGTTCCCACCTGGCCGCGTCTTCCTCCAACAGGAGCTTCACGAACTGCCGGGGCACATGCAGGGAGAGCACACTCTCTGCCATCTGCTCCAGGATCCGCAGGTGGTTGCCATCGGTGGTGGGGAAGCGGTACATGCGGCAAATGGCACCTCCAAACACTGAGGGGGTATGAAAGACAGAGGCGTGAGTAGATGCACATTGTGCGGGGGCCTCCCCTCAGGCCGCCCAGTACTGACATCCTCAGTCTCCCTACGCTCATCTCAAGGGACTTCCACATTTAAAACAAAGCCCCACCAGGTGACTGAACCTGGAAACTCTTCCCCTGAGACATGCAGCCTTCCCATTCCAGAAGGCGTAACGCCCCGTGTAAGGGCTGGGGCAGTAACGGTGGCAGTCACTAGACCAACACAGAACAGGAAAGACTAAAGCGAAGGAGGTGGTCCCTTCCTCGGAGTATCACTGACTCTTTATGTGCTGGCACGTGGGTATGCAGCAGGGAGGTGACGACCAGAGAGGACAGGGTGACCACGGGCCCGAGCACCAACAGAGAAGGCCATTTACCTGACTTCAGCAAAGTGTCTTTCCGCAATGAGGCATACTTGGATCGGACCCCCAATGCCTCGGTCAAGCTCTCATCAACGGGCAGGACCATCTAGTGACACGCACAGAAAAGCACAAGAGGACAGACTTGGATGGGTCCAGAGCACTCGGGGGATGTGGTGGCCACAGACATGAAAGAATGCTCCAGGTTAATGTCCACCACCAGTGCTATAGCAAAGACACTGCCCAAGGCACCACAGGCCCGCTTCCCTGTGCATGGGGTATGTCCCACACGCACACCATTTTCTAGGAACATGTGTCTTTTACTAAGTCATTTCACCTGGTATTTCAGTATTTCGATGTGTGAAATGAAAGGGAGGGAAAATAGATACCAGCAATATCTCTACAGCTGGTGTTCCAGGCTTACTTTGGGTGAAACGAGGTATCTCCATATTCGACAATATGACCATGTACCCATGTTTGGGCTCTTCAATTAGAATTCTAGTTTGAGAGCACGGGGGAGAGTGACAGAGAAAGGATTTAGGGAGACGGGGAGGCTGTGCAGGTGTGACACACATGCACATGTGTGTCGGGAGAGGGGGATACTAACAACACAGGTAACCCGCATTTCATTCCTCACCTACCCAGGCACCTGACTGCAGCCCCTCAACCCAGGCTCCAGAGGTGGCCCACAGGGCAGGGGCAAGCGTAGGCTCCAGGGCTGCAGAGCCTGAGGGGAGCCCCTTCTCTCCTCTTTGAGAAGTGCCTGGGGCACTGGCCCATCCTTCAGAGGTAGTGCCAAGGAGCAGGCCCTGCCCTTTGTCCCCTGGAACAGAGGCAAAGCCCATCTCACTCCTGACGGGGGTTAGGGAGTGGCACTCACCCTGCCATTGACTGTGTCCAGAGACCGGGTCACCGGAGGCCTCTGGTCTGACTTCTCCTCCATCTGCCAGCCGATCACGGTGATGTTGCCCACACGGTCACTCTCAGCAGACCTGCAATGAGCAATGTGCTGTGGGAAGTGGCCTTGTGACTACTTTGTTTTTGGCTTAAAGCTCAGCCATCGTGGGCCACAGAGGGGCCCTGGGTGTGCCAGGATCTGGCCAGCTGGTCGGTCGGGCAGCACCCACTGTATGCCCAGACTGCGAGGGAGGCCACAGGAAACCACAGGGACACAGCTGAGAGGACAGAGCTCCACAGAGAGGTGTGGACGTGCCTGGCAGAGCCGAGGGAAGGAGCCAACACTCAGGTCCCTGGCTGACCCCTGCCCTAGGGTGTGATGGGAATGCACCTCAGAATCAGGACTAAAGAGCACCCTCACCTGGCACTGTACCCCTTTCTGCTTCTCCCACTCCACCCTTAAGCTTTGATCACCCCAAGGCCTGGGCTGGAGCCCCAAGGAAGCCGTGGTCACCCAGGGTTTCCCCAAGCCTCTGAATCCTGATATGACAGAGCTGATGCCACTCCCAGCCCCAGTCAGCTATACCCCTAAAACCTCTGGCAGCAGGGGGGAGGCTGCCAGCTACCTGGGCCCATCTTGCTTATCCAGGGAAGCCCCAGGCCTTTTATTTAAGGTGTCGGACTCAGTCAGGCTCTCCATGTTCATGGGGTCACTTCGAATGCCCATTTCCTCTGAGACTCTCACTGTCTCAGGCCCAGAAAGGCCCTTCTCCCTACACCATCTGTCCAATGGTGACCTCAGCTCCTTCTAACAGGGACGATGTCCCCTTCTTACATGGACCTCTAATGCCTGGCTTATGATGTGCCCGGACATTTTCTCTAATAGCCCTCTCATTTTCCCTGAGACCCTCCCTCCACCCTAGGTCAGGTCCGCCACTCACAGCAAGGACGGCTGCCAGGCTCCCGTCCTACCCAACACCAGCAACACCCTTACCATCACTGCCACAGAATGCTGCACCATCCAGCACGGAATTAACCCTCTCTGTCAAAATACCTTTGCTATTTTGGACTGTTTCCTTAATTTTTACATTATTTTGGGAAAAAAAAAAAAAAGAATGCCATAGCAGGATTTTGGTGGGAATTGCCCCTAAAATGAGTTTGGGAAGGGACGACGTCTTAACATTCTCCATCTTCGTTCCAGGGACGCAGTAGGGGGCGGTTTCCTCCTCCCTCCACAAACAGTTACCGAGAGCCAGGCACTGTTTCACAAGCTCAGGATACAGCAACAAAGCAAAATAGACAGAATTCCCTGCTCTCGGGAGCTGACGTTCTACTAAGGGGAGGGGTGGGTGCTAGACAAATACATTTAGTGTTACTAGACACACATCTAGGTTTCCCTCAGGTCTGAGTCCAGCAGGCAGGCCATACAGGCCCGTGCCTGACACACCTCAGCGGACAACCAGTGCCCGCTGAGACCAGCCTCTGGGAGGGACAGGATGCAGGGCCCCTCCCCATTGACCCCTGGGCCCCCAGATTCTCTCAAAGAAACAAATTAAAAACCAACCTTAGTGTTAAATGCAACCGGTGATGCCTGTCCTGGAGCAGATCCTTGACAATAAATGTTCCAGAGCCCAGCAAATACATCTGAGGAAGAGGGAGAGCCAGCGTCAGTCCCCTTGTCCTCCCTCTGCTCCAGTGACCAGGTCCCAGGGAGTCCGGCTGGTCCTCATTGAAGAAGCCCAATAGGGAAGCTCGGAAAGAAGTTCCCAAAGACAGATGCGTCTGGATATCAGCTGGCCGTGAGCCAGGAATGAAGCCAATCCCATGTTCACGTCTCACTGAAATGACTACAGAACTTAAGAGATTCCCACGAACCACAACGTGCTACTTAACTGTTCCCTGAGATCTGTCTTTGACGTCATACACGGAGAGTTTGATTTGTGTCATCTGATTGATAAGGGAGTCTTGGAAAAAGGCGATACTGCTTAAAAATATAGGATTGTTGGTTCCCTAGAATGGGAAAGAGAATCATCAGAACACAGAGGTAGGTGGTTAAAGTAATCACTCTTGAAGTACAGCCACATTTTCAGAACGAGTAACATTCTTACCGACTTGGATGAATACAAATGCTCACGGCAGCTTAAACCAATGCAGACAACCCAAACCTGCCTTTCGGAAGGGGCAGAGGAGCCCGAAAGCCCCTGACCAACCCAGACACGACCAACCCAGACACAGCCAATGGGCCACTGCGCAAGCTCTGCCCAGGCTCACTGTAAGGGCTTGTCACTTCATGGGAGGAGTTTTTTAAAATGGAATCGGGCTAAATGTCCACGTGTATTCCTGGTCGCACAGCTTTGGACGAGGCATGGATTTGGATCTACTACTTTGGGTTGTTTCTATGAGATGTGCAAGGGCGGAAGGAAGAGGAAAAGGACAGCTTAGGTCGTTTTCTTATTTCTAGAATCCTGTGGTTTGGGATAATTAAGTCCTGGCCTTTTTAAGGCCATCCCCTTTTTGAGGACTAGCTGCTAGTTTCTAGATCATAAGTGGCTATTTCCTGGCAGCTTAGCCTCACCTCCCAAAGCTCCATATTTTCTTTCTCAGGCAGTGGTGAACTATCTTGGCCAAATGGTTAACGGTTCCTGTTTGTACCTGTGCTTGGTTCCATGCCTCTGGCTGTGTGCCCTCTGCAGCTCCAGGTCCATCTCTCAACAGGCCATCCAGCCTCCCTCTCCACCCACCCTAGCTAACCACCTCCGACTCTCCTTTCACTGAGGCTCCAAACCCAGGCATCTGCTTTGGTGTTTCTTTGTCATGCTCAAGCACCCGGCGACAATGAACTCCTCTCACAACCCTTTCTTTCCTCTCCTTCCCCCTGGCAGTCAGGACCTCCCTGAAACACCTCTGGTCAGGTGACCACTGCGTGAAAGCCTACACTGGCCCGCTGTAGACTCCTAGCCTGCCTTTCCAAGGCATCCCCCACGCTCTCCTTTCTGTGCCTTCTGCACATACACTGAACGGGCTAACGTTACCTTCCGAACAACACAATGCTTCCTCGTCGCCTGTGCATCACACCACAGAGCTCTGGCATGCTCTGCGGCAGGTAGGCCCCAGACTGGCAGCGTGGGCCCCGCCTGGGAGCCTGTGAGGAATTCAGAGTCTCGGGCCCCACTCCAGGCCCATGGAGCCAGAATTTCACTAAGTGGCCCTAGGAAGCCGCCTCCAACCCTCAGGGCTGACTGGGACCCCATCCTCCTGGTGCTGTCCTCATCTTTCAACACCCCATACTCTGTGGGGTATAGATGTGGTCACACTCATTTGTGCCTCCCTGCCCACAGGGTGGTCAACCTCTTGGGGGCAGCGACTGGGTCTGGGTGGCCTATCACCCGCAGCACCCAGCACAGTGCTTCCTGTGTAGCGGTGCTCAAAAAGACTTAGAAAACACTGTTGACTTGAACCTCCATTGCAAGAGAATGGAAAGAGTCTACCTTCCAAACTGTAAAACTGGGGTGAGGAGAAAGCTCAGTGAATCTGCTGCAGACGGCCAGGAAGGGGTTAATTTTCACAGACACTCATACCACTAACAGAGCTCTGCAGAATCTCACACCAGCAACTCCTTTCACAACTCACGCAATGTGCTCAGTTACCTAAAAGGCTTTTGCAAAATTCCCAAGGAGAATACATATCATTTAATGTAAAAAGTATATATGTTACCCACAACTCAAAAGGATATAAAAATAAAAACCGATAAAAACAGGGGTATGCCCCAGAAGAGGGTTGGTTAACAGTCACTCTCCAAACTTTAATTAATGAGCACAATTCTCCAAAAGTAGAAGCCAAGTGGATGTGACAGGAGAATTAGGTCACCTCTTAAAAGGCAATTGACCTTACAGGATCATTGTTCAAAAATAACTGGCCAATAGTTAATCAATAACTAAAGGATTCAGCAAACGGAAACACCACCCAGATGAGTAAATGTGAGGGAGAACATCAATGTACTGAAAACCCATGGAAAATAGCAACGATTCCCATAAATCTCACTGAAGCTGCGGGTGCTCAGGTGGCCAAGAAAGATCACGTGAGCCTGTGGTCGAGCCCCAGGGGCCAGCAGCACCCACCTCAATGACCTCGGTCTGAGCGTGCTTCGTCCAGAAAGCCTGAGGAGGGGTGGTCACACTCACTGCTACAAAACTATTTGGTTTCCGATCTAGCGACGGAGTATGCAGCTCACTGCAAGCTGCGGGATCAAAATGGGAGAGAAACGAATCCTTTAATATCAGGCTCTAGGTGATTCTCTGGTTCAAGTAGACGCAAAGAGCAAAAAAAGTGAGTGACACTCAAACAGAGGACACAACTGCATTTTCAGTTGTCACAGGGAGGTGATTTCTTAAACTGGAATGAACCTGCCCTCACTCCCCTTTACCTCCCCCCCTACCCCCACGACAGCGGCACCCTAAGTGCCTGGGGACCGCTGAGCTGGATGGGTTCCTGTGTCCAAGGACTGGAACACAGGGCCAACAACCCTATCCAGTGTCTGACCATAAGCTTGACCTCAGCAACTAACTGAACTTCTAACGGCTGATCTAAGCAGCCTGGGACTACATGAAATCACAACACAGCTACTACATGTGCCGCGTCCGTGGCTGCAGCGCTGGCCCTAAGCTGTGGGCCCCACGCTCTCTGTGCAGGTGCACATGTTGGAAGCAAATTACAATCTTACGGCAAAATAAACAAAACTCTTTAAAAAGAGAAGTCATTGCTCATTTATTATCTTTATAAGACTCACATCAAACACAATAAGAGTACTAAACATGTTACTTGTTAAAACTTAAACAGTTTCAATTAGAAATTTATGGTACTAAGTAAGCATTTTGAAATATGAGGCTCAGATAATTCTATCGTAGAACTGACCTACTGGAAAGATGATCATATTTCACTGAATCTAACGTGCTATCTGTTGCAAATGGCACTATGAAAGAGAAATTTAACACACTGCCATTAGAGTAGGATATGCTATTGACTGTAAGACACTCTCTTATTAAAGAAATATTAAAACATGAAAAAATACCCATCTTGGAAGTGATGAAATACACTATAAACTAAAGTTAAACACAAGTAGAAACAAATCACTTTTTTGCAGAGGCAGTGAATCCTCCCTAGAGTGCTGTGAGCATTTGCTTAATTTCCAGAATTCTGAAACAATGATTTTGACCATTTTTGCCAGGGTTTTCATTGCCTTTAAGAAGGAAAGGATTTTTGGAGGCCCTTAATCTGTCATTCTTGCCCTCATCATCGATTTTTAAAATGCGCACTGGCAATGTACATTTAGAAATGGATTTTTTTACTTCTGAAAATTAATTTTGGTTTTCTGATTATCCCTTTATCTCATATATCTGAATTTTCATTATTTATTAGGCATGATAAAATACAAAGAGCTCAGGTTTTCACTTCAACGAGTTTTGACAATCATATACACCTATGTAACCATCATCAAAACGAGACAGAGAACCTTCTCCATCGGACCAGAAAGTCCCCCCATGCTACCCGCCTCTGTGACCACCATCTGATTTCCATCACTTTGTTCCTGAATTTCATATAAATGGAATGTTTTCGAGACTTCTAAGTGAGAGCAGAGGACGTCAACTTTGTAGGAAGCCAACAGTTTTCAAAAGTGGCCACACCGTTTTACGGTCCCGCCGGCAACGTGCATGCGTTCTGGTTGCTCCGCATCCCACCACGTTTGCTGAGGTGTTTACTTCAGTGGCTACAATGGATGCACTTTGACTTATGCTTCTGTGATGTTCAGAATCTCTCCACTGTGTGCTCATTGTTCATTTCCATAAATTCTTTTGTCAAGACTCTAATCAAGTCTTTTGCTCATTTTTGAATTCGATTGTTGACTTTTTAATGATGGATTTGTAAGCATTTTATTCTGGATCTGTCCTTTGTCAGAAATATGTCCTGTGAATATCTTTTTCCCAGTCTGTGGTTTACTCATTTTCTTAAAGATTTTTAGATTTTTTGATTTTAGATTTTTAATTTTAGGGAGCGGTAGGAAGGAAAATGTCCCCCTTCTCCCAAAGTATCCATGTGCTAGTTTCTGGAGCTTGTGACTATATTATATCACAGGCAAACAAACTGTAGGGATGTGAGTGACGTCATGAATCTCGACATGGGGAAATTTTTCTGGATTACCTAGGTAGTCTTAATCTAATCACACGAGCTCTTAAAAGTAGAAGAGGAAGGTAGAAGGGTGAGTCAGAAAGATGTGACAAGGGAAAAAGGTGAGATCTAAAGCACGAAAGGCACTCGACCCGCCATTGCTGGCTCTGAAGATAGAGGAAGGGGTCCACAAACCAGGAAATGTGAGTGGCCTTTATAAGTTGAGAACCAGCCTCAACTAGTAGTTGGCAAAGAAATGGGGACCACAGTCCTAAAACTATAAGGAAGTGAATTTTGCCAACGATCTGAATAAGTGAGGAAATAGATTCTCCCGTATGGCCCCCAAAGGAATGCAGCCCTGCTGATGCTTTGATTTTGGTGTTAGAAGGCTCTGAGCAGAGAAGCAGCTGAGCCCAGTTGGGATTTTGACCTAAGGGAATTATAAGATAATAAATATGTGTTGTTTTAAAGTGCTAAATTTGTGGTAATTTGGTATGGCAGCAATAGCAAACTAAAGCACAGAGTTAGTGCTTTCTGTGTTCTGGCCAAGAAATCTGCCTACCCTGAGGTTGTGAGTTACCCTTTGCTTTCTGGAAGAATGCTTTAAGGTTTTATTTTTTAAAGTTCTCTGCTATGTCTACTACATCTGCCTCAACAGTAATCAGGGATTTGATTGTTTCGCTTTCTCTCTCTCCTTTAGCTATGCCCCTACGTGACCCATGGCCTGGTCTCACTCAGCTTGCACTTTCATCTGGGTTCTCCACATGCAGGCTAGGCTGGAATATTTGAGTCTTTCAAGCAGAAGTGACGGCAGACGGACTGAGGAATACAAGTGGCCAAAGGCTGGGAAGACTAACACCGGTTGTGTGGCTAAAAGGCCAACTGCCACCTTCAGAACATGCCTTCCCACAAGTGACAGTCTTTCCTGGCCTTGTCCCCAGCCCAGCCTACCTAAATCCTACCCAATATGTCGTTCCTAGCCCTAAGTTCCACAGCTTCCACGATGCTTCCTCTCATCAGCTCACATCACGCCGTTTACATCACTCCTTTGGCATATTTCCATAGAAACCATCCCTCTCTGATATGTACGCCTCGTCTCGCCAGACAAACCCTCTGTAATGCCTGCCGAGTGAACACCATCAAGGTAAACAGGTAAAATAGGTTTCAAGTGTATATCATTTGACTCTGCAATTCCATATCCAAGAATTTATTCTAAGGAATTAATCAGCAAAAATATATGAAAGATCTATGCGCATGTGTGTTTACACATGTGTGAACTCCTATGTCCACCAGGAGGAGACTGGTCAACATAACTGGCACAGCCGCATAACAGGTCCTGTGTGGACACCAACCTGGTGTGGCAGGTCCCATGTTAATAAAAACGAAAGATGCCAGTGACTCTTTGCTACCTGAAAAACCATGTTAAGAACACTAGGAAGACATTTTTGTAAATAACTCCACCACCTCCACACCCAAAAATCATTAAAAATTTCTGTATAGCACTGTGTAGGCAGAAAAAATGTCTTGAAGGATATATACCAAAATGTCAAATGTGATTCTCTCTCTCAGGGTTTTCTTTTCCTCTAACATTTTCTGTAAGAAAGAATTTTAAATAAGCATTTTTTAATTTTAAACATTTATTTTTAAGACGAAATGTTTGATCAATCATCTGGCATCTGACCCTTGGGTTTTTTAAAACTTGTGGTAAAATTCATTTCACATCACCTTTTTAAGCTGTTTCTTCCTCTGTGTATCTAATTAATATGATGGTATTGTTCTTATTGATTTGTCGCATCAGAAATGTCCTGGTTTCTGTTACAGGGGTGGGGATTTTTAACTGTTATGTTAACTCTCATCTTCTCTCTATGCTCAGTTTAGCCCAGTTTTTGTAGTTAAACCCACATTCTGCATTGTGGAAGTTAAGTGAATATTATTCATTATAAGCACGTGGGGCTTCCTTCACTCTCTCCCACGTTGGACCCTGTTTCCTAGGCCCCATGTCTTCCGTTTTCTCAAGTCATCCCCTCTTCAGAGTGAAGCCCATCTGCCACCAACTTCCAGAGAAAGGGTATGGGGGAAGCAGGTTTACCTGAGACGCTTAAGCTGAAGCAGGTCCCTTCTACCCTCATATCTGACAGACAGCCTAGCTGACCACAATTGGAAACACCTTCCAGCCAAGTCTCCAATGCCACTAAGGTCTCCACACTGGCTGTATCCCTGACCCTTGGATGTGACCATTTTCTTTCTTTTCCGGAAGTTTTTAGATTTTTCCTTTGATTTCCAGTGCTCTGAAACTCCGCCATGATGTGCTCTGAAGCTCCGCCTTGATACAGTCCCTGTCACTGTATCGGGCAGGCCTGGGGGGCATTCCTCGGTCCCAAAAGACCCCTTGTGTTATTTCTTGGTAATCTCCCCCCTTACATCCTTTTCTATTTTCTCTTCTCAGTGTGAGACCTCCCGAACTTGCTCTCTAATTTTCCATTTCTATTTCTCTCCCATTTTCTATTTGCATTTAAATTTTTACTTTCCGGCAAGTAATAACAAATAGTAGAGAGGATGCAAAGCAAAAGGAAGCTTTATACACTGCTGGTGGGACAGCCACTATGGAAAACAGCATGGAGGTTCCTCAAAAAATTTAGAATTGATCTACCATATGATCCAGCAATTCCTCTACTAGGTATTTAACCTAAAGACTTGAAAACTCATATCCAAAACGATATTTGCACACCAAGGTTCGTAGCAGCATTATTTATGGTGGCTAGGACATGGAAGCAACCGAAGTGTCCTATGATAGATGACTGGATGAAGAAGCTGTAGTAGATGTATACAAGGGAATATTACTCAGCCATAAGAAGAGATGAAATACTGCTATTTGTGACAACATAAATGGACTTCGAGATAATCATGCTAAGCGAAATAAGCCAGACAGAAAAAGTTGAAAACCACATGATATCACTTATATGTGGGATATAAACCTAAAAGCAACAAATGAACAGGACAAACAAACAGAGACTCATGGAGATGGACAAGAGACTAGTGATTACCAGACGGTAGGAGGAAAAAGGGAAGAGGAGAGGTAAATGGGGAAAAAAGGGTCAAATATGTGGTGACAGAAAGAAAACTAACTGTGGGAAGTGAACATACGTTGTAAATATATAATACGCCTTACTGTTAAAATGTACAGCTGAAACTTACTGGATTTCGTTAACCAATGTCACCACAGAAAAACAAATTAATTAACCATCAAAAAAAAATTTTACATTCTGGGGTAATTCCTTGAATATCTTCCAATGTTTATTGAATTTTTAAATATTTTCTATCCTATTTCAAATTGCTAAGATTATCCATGTTCTTCAACTGTTCTTTTCTTCTTTAGAGTATCCTATTCTTGTTTGATGGATCATATTCTCTTAAGGATATAAATTATAATTTATATATATTAAATATAGAATTATGTATATACGAAATATACATTAACTATATCTACATAAATATACAATTTATGTACAACCCATCTGTCTGTCCATCAGCAGGAGAATGAACTACAGTTGACACACACAATGAACAACCACACAGCAAGGAAAGGAATGAGCTGCTGACCCTCACAACAACATGGCGAGCCTCAGGGGTGTGGCGCAGAGTAAAAGAAGGCTGTGTGATATAGGGTTCCATTTACTCAGGAGGCAGAATATATAGTGACAGGAATCCGGTCAATGGTTGCCAAGAAGTGAAGGTGAGGACTGGCAGGAAAGGGGACAGGGAAGGCTTTGGGGTGATGCGAAGGTTCTGTGTCTTGACAGTGGTGGTTACATGGATGTGCATGCTTATCAAAACTCACTGAATGGATACGTTTTACATATAAATCATACTCAATATTGATTTAAAACAAAATGAAAGAACAGTCAGAGATCACACAACCTTTGTAGAAGGCTCGCAATATGAAAGAAAAAACAGAACTTGGAAGAAGCAGAGATATTGAAGAAAATAAGAAGAAAATGTCAAAGAAATTATACATCGAAGAAATGATACACCGTACAGTTTGTGTTTCTGTTTCTTATTCTTCTTGATGTTTGGGAGAATATAAGATAAGGGGGCGAAAATATGCTCGCTCTCTGCTGTGACACTGGGAGTCTCTGGGCTGGTATTCAATCTGTAAAGAGCTATGAGGATCTAAGTGGGGTGGCAGGCTTGTGTCCTGCAGCCCTCAGCTCCTGCCCTGGCCCCGGCCCCAGCCACAGCCACAGCCACAGCACTCAGCACAGCACTCTGTCCCCACTGCAGCCCTAGGTCGGGCTGGGGAAAACTGTAACTTGTTTAGGAGTGTTTACCCTGAAATGGGAACGTTTTCTAAAAGTTTAACGTTAACTTCACAACAATGCTTTTCTATTTTTGTGGGTTTAGCAATTTGTCAAAGTCTCTCTGTTTTGTTTGGACCACCATGAGCTTCTTTGTCTCTCAAATGGCAACACCCCAAATAACACATGAGGAAACCCGTCCAGTAAGGTCAAGGGCAGGCTCGAGGCCACGCAGTTCATTTGCAGCACAGTCTGGACTACATTTTAGGTCATCTGACTCCCCAAGAGGTGCTTCTTTATGTTACACACACATCCTGGACACCGATGTCTGGACACTGATCAATGCTGACCACCATCCAGGGAATAAGTGAAGGGGACAGGACTGCCAGAGAGCGTGGGCTCCAGATGAGAAGCATCATGGTGGCTGACCCCACTCTGCTCTCCAACCTCCTGGGCAAGCTGCAGTAATGCCACACTTCCCTGATCCCAGAGCTGGCACATTCTCTCTCTGATGTCCCTGAGGGGTGGGCACGCAGGTTATCACCTGCACAACGAAGGTTAGAGATTCAAACACACAGGACCTCACAGCCAGGAGCTGACACCGCTGGCCTTAAGCCTGTTTTCTCACCTATCAGGCCCCTCCTGAATGAGTGGGAGGAAAGGAGGGGAGGCCTCTGTGCAGCTCCAGGGGCTCCCCACGGCCAGACCTGCAGGCGTGCCACCCCAGACCCCCCACCCACAGAGAGTCCACTCCGATCTCCAGCTTCACCTCCTTGGAAACGCTTCAGCAGCAGTGGCGGCAGCAAGTTCTCTGAGACAAACTTGGGCCAGCAGTCATGATTTTGTTTTTGAGCAACACATATTAAAAAAAAAATTTAAAGACACCTACCTAAGCTGAATTCTAAAATGGGCTCATCTGGATCTTGCAGGTTTCCTGAATAAAAGAGAAATGCCAGAAAAAAGTTATCCTTAGTAAACTTTTCCCTGCATTTAGATTTTATGAAGAAGACGAAAAAAAAACCCTGATACATTTGTAATCATTTCACAATATATGTAAATCCAACCATCATGCTATACACCTTAAACTTACACAGTGACGTAAATTGATTACCCATCAGAAAACTGGGGGAAACCCCAACACTCTATTTTTCCCTCAAAAACCTGTTGTACAAGATGATTTCTTCATTTTCTAAACATGCCGTTTCCAAATTCCTAAGAAGTCTCAGACCCATGGCCATATAGCTTCCTCCTTGGGCTATACATGCACAACAGGGAGGGTCTGTGCTGTGGTCTGGGCGCTGGCCAGTCCAGCCCTGTGACCTTTGGCACAGCACCTACTGCAGGATGGGCCACACAGCGGTCTGTCCGAGCAGGACACCTGATGTGGGCAGGGCCCCGTAAAGCAGTTCCCAGGAGGAGTACTAACTTCCCTTGCCTATTCTGACTCAACCAGAGAATGCCAGAGCAGGGCACCCACCAGCCGGGGGCGGTCACTAGGGGTTCAGCCTGGCTGGCCGCTGGGTGCCCTAGGAGGCATGCTTGTCCCTTCGAGCGTGGCTGCAGCGTAGGGCCCGCCAGGAGCCCTGTAAGGCTCACCTGCCAGAGAGAGGCCAAGCATGTCAGCTGCCACATCAATGGTGGAAGCCCGCTGCATCGCACGGGCCCTGGTGCCATGGCGAGGGCTCTGCTCTCTTGCTGTCATGATGTCATTGGTGATGACAAGCTTCCTGTTCCTGGGTCAGACCACACCTGATTCCCCGGGAAGTGCTGTCACCTGGCAGCACACCTGTTCCCTAAGGTGGCAGTAGTCCTGAGAAATAGAAACAAACACTGGTAAGACACAAGCGATAGGGAATGAGGCCCTGCTCTCGCAGACAGTAAGTGACGGAGCATGGGCAGGGCCGAGAAGCCAGGGTCCCAGCATGGGAGGAACCATGGTGGAGTCTGATGGCCAAGGTCCCTTCAGTCACCTCTCCCTCTGCACTCGCTAGCACACTCTCACACACATACCACATACCACACATCACACACACGCTATGGGGCCCGTGCAGAAACCATGTTCTCTCCAAGTACATGACACATGAAATAGTGTTATTCATGCAAGCACAAGCTATGGCTTCTGAGATTTTCTTGCTTGCTTTATTATGCTTTTCTGTTGGCAAATCTCATAGAATCTCATAAGAATTTAAACCAACCCACTACACTCTCTTTTAGAAGGGAAGAGATGCGTAAAAGGGCTTGTCATCCACCAGTTGTAGCATGGTGGGACACGGGAGGGACAAGGCACATACATCTGCAGCCCTGCCATCTGTCTTTCCATAGCTGCAGACACCTCACGTCTTGGTCTGGGACTCTCTTTTCTGCAGAACACGTAGGTGATAATCTACACCTAACGAAGGTGGCTGTGCCATGTGGTGATATGCAGTCTGTGCAGAGACCTGCTGCAGGCTGGATCACACAGCACAGAACTCACATTCTGCTCTGAGAAGTGGGGTGACAACAAGAAGTGACTTTCATGGTTTTC